ATGAGCTGTGCTGTCAGGGGTGTGGCCTAATATGCTAATGGGTTCCTGCTGTTGGGTATGGCCTATTATGCTAATGGGTTCCTGCTGGGCTTTTTCTACAAAAAAAGCCGTGCACATATACATTCAATCACCTAACTAGGGCCACACACATTTCAGGGGAGATGGATACCTTACCAGGCACCTAAGCAGCGTAGGACTGTCTGTGGGGGGATCTTGCTGGAACCAGGGGCGGTAGTGTCCTTCTGCTCGGCTCCCCGGGATGGTCCTTTTCGCCAGGCTGCACGATGAAGTCGCGACTGGTCTCTGTCCCGCAGGCTCCGACCGTGCTTACGTCGCCACGCCTCCATGCTGCCTGGACCAATTGCCTCACGAGTCGGCTGCTGCCTGCCGCCGATCCGTCGCCATGTCCTTTCTGCCGGCTCGCCGCTCATTGTTCGCCACATCGTCCAGCTGCCGTTGCCGCCCTCAGGTATTGGAGGTAGGGTGCCCCCCACTCCTAAGGAGTGGGTACCCATTTGTCTAATTGCCGTTAGGGGTTTTCGAGCCGCTGGGTGGGCGGGAGCTAGGACAAGGGCCGGGAGCTCACCCCGGCCGCAGTGGGACTCGAACAGCTATTAAGGCTGTTCGGAGATAGATTAACTTGCAGGCATTTACTGCCTGCGCCACCGCTTCTTGTCTTCTTATAATGTGACTAAAGATTGATAGCCTCAGTTTGGTCATTCGAGCTTCTAGGGAAAGTTCAGACTTGATTTGGTCTAGAACCCACTGACTGGTCTTTTTGACAGCCCACAAGACTTCATCTACTTCTACCTCACTTCAGGGGAAAAGTTCAGCAATGGGAAATGATTTGTCAACCCAAGATCCTTCACAAGTTACTCTGCATCTTCCCGCATCCCCTTTAAAAATGGAAAAAAGGAATATTTCCAGCTCGTTTTGACAGCCCACGAAATCTGTCAAACTCTTCTCCGACCCCACATGTCAAATAAATCCACTTTCTTCCTGTCAGCTTTCTTCATTGTCCAACTTTCACAACCATACCTAGTAACGAGGATTACTATGGCACCCTTTGGGTGAACGGCGACTAATATATATATATATATATATATATATATATATCTAGTGAATAAAAAATAAAATGAAACAATGCCATAAATCATACTATTAAAAAAGCATCAATATAAAAGACAAGTCAGGGCTATAAAAAACCACAGAACCACCTTTGTTCACCTTTATAAAAAATCCGAAAAACAGAGGACAGGCCGTTAAAAAGAGCTATGAAGAGATCAATGGGTTAAAAACAAACAAACATTTCTGTGTCGTATCCGGCGAGTCGCAGTTTCTCCTGGGGATTAGGAGGGCCAGAAGGTGAAGGCAGGAAAATCTCTGTTTTTTTGTTATTTATCTAATTATTTGTAATATCTCTGTGCTGTAGGGTTGCCAGCAGTTTTTTAGCCTCCGGCTCACAGATTTTTGTCTCCACTCAAGAAAGGAGGGCTTCAGAGCAAACTAACTGATGCGGTAGCCGAATCGCTCGCTCACGACTTTAATGCCAGTAGCTCACTGTTAAGTCGCTCGCTTAAGTCGGAGAGTGATTCAGCAAGAACACAACTTTATTCTTCAACTTGAACACCACTCCAACACAGATCAACATCTGATAGCCAGAACAGAACAGTTCAGCTTTTACATTGCAGAAGTCCTGCTTTTAAACTCTCCCGGCTAATGTAGCCACACCCACTGTACAAATACCAACCAATACGGTTGTTCAGATAAGGACCAATCACGGACGTTCCCGCTCAGGGAGCTTGCTGTAAAGTGATTGGCTAGGGGCTTCCAGGGCTAGCAATACGATTGGATGGATTTGGATCCTAGCCCAGGACGAAGCTTAACATAGCTTTTCAATCAGATGTTTCACAACATATCATGCATTCAAGGCAGTAGGATTTGTGCTCACAGGTCTCCACACCTTAGAGGGAGCATTGGTTGCCAGGTCTGGGTTGGGAAATACCTGGAGACTTTGGGGGTGGATCCAGGAGAGGGGCCTCAGCATGGCACGATGCCCTAGAGTCCCCCTCCAAAGCAGCCATTTCCTCCAGGGGAGCTGATCTCGGTCAGCTGGAGATCAGTTGTAAAAGCGGGAGATCTCCAGGCCCCACCTGGAGGCTGGCAACCCTACTGTGCTGCCTGTGATACACAGGACAGCTTGTATCAATTGTTGTTGTTGTTATTGTTATTATTATTTCTTAATCGCCCTGTCCTATTTTTTATTTTATTTTTCTAAACTAAATATTTAATTTAAAAATATTATTTTAATTTTATTTATTTCACTTCATAAGAACATAAGAACATAAGAACATAAGAGATGCCAATGTTGGATCAGGCCAAAGGCCCATCCAGTCTAACACTCTGTATCACACAGTGGCCAGAAATACCAGTACCATCAGGAGGTCCACCAGTGGGGCCAGGACATTAGAAGGGCCATAGAGCCCTTCAAAGCAGCCATTTTCTCCAGGGGAACTGATCTGTGCCGGCTGGAGATCTGTAGTAAAAGGGGCTCTTCCTCTGAACCACAGTCCCTCCCCAAACATTTGTTATCTACAAAACTGCAAATAGAAACGATCTTACTATTGAAGCCATGCTTTTATCATTCGAGTTGCCCTTTTCTGCACTTTTTCCAAAGCTATAATATCCTTTTTAAGGTGTGGTGACCAGAATTGCACACAGTATTCCAGATGAGGTCGCACCATTGATTTATATAGCGGCATTATGATATTGGCTGATCTGTTTACAATACCCTTCCTAATAATCCCCAGCATAGCATTGGCCTTCTTTATTGCAGTCACACACTGTCTCGACATTTTCAGTGAGTTATCTACTACAACTCCAAGATCTCTCTCTTGATCTGTCTCTGCCAGTTCAGACCCCATCAACGTGTATTTATAGTTAGGATTTTTGGCTCCAATGTGCATCACCTTGCACTTGGCCACATTGAACCCCATTTGCCATGTTGACGCCCACTCGCCCAACTTTGACAGATCCCTTTGGAGTGCCTCACAATCCTCACTGGTTTTCACCACCCTGAACAACTTCGTATCATCCGCAAATTTAGCCACTTCACTGCTTACTCCCAACTCCAAATCATTAATGAACAAGTTAAAAAGCAGTGGACCAAGTACTGATCCCTGTGGTACCCCACTGCTTACACCCCTCCACTGGGAGAACTGCCCATTTATACTCACTCTCTGTTTTCTATTAATTAGCCAGTTTTTGATCCATAAAAGGACTTGTCCTTTTATCCCATGATTTTTGAGCTTACTTAGGAGCCTTTGATGAGGAACTTTATCAAAAGCTTTCTGGAAGTCAAGGTAAACAATATCTATTGGATCCCCCTTGTCCACATGTTTGTTCACCCCCTCAAAGAACATTAACAGGTTAGTGAGACAAGATCTTCCCTTACAGAACCCATGTTGAGTCTGCCTCAATAGGTTTTGTTCATCTATGTGCCTACTAATTCTTTCCTTAATAATGGTTTCCACCAATTTACCCGGTATCGACGTCAGACTGACTGGCCTGTAATTTCCCGGATCTCCTCTGGAACCCTTTTTAAAGATGGGAGTGACATTAGCTACCTTCCAGTCCTCAGGAATGGAGGCTGATTTTAAGGAGAGATTACATATTTTTGTCAGGAGATCCACAAGTTCACAATTGAGTTCTTTCAGAACTCTTGGATGTATGCCATCTGGGCCTGGTGATTTATCAGTTTTTAAGTTGTTTATCAGTTTTAGGACCTCCTCTCTCGTCACCTCAATCTGACTCAGGTCTTTCAACACCCCTCCCGAACTCAGCGGCTCTGGAGTGGGCAAGCACCTCTCATCTTCCACAGTGAAGACGGAGGCAAAAAATGCATTTAGCTTCTCAGCCATTTCCCTATCATCCTTCAGTACTCCTTTTACCCCTTGGTCATCCAAGGGCCCCACTGCCTCCCTGGCTGGTTTCCTGTTTCTAATGTATTCCTGTTATATCATCTGTTAATGCTGGTTTCAGTTTCCATTACCCGTTTTTTTTAAAAAAAACTATATGTTTTAAATTGCAAATCGCCTCAGGGGCCATAAACTGGAAATGTGACCCATCTATTTTGTTGTAAACCCACCCAGTCATAAAAAACCAAAACAAAACCCAGTTATCAGATTTTTTAAAAAACTTTCCCTTTATACAAGAAGAGGAGATTGGATTTATATCCTGCCCTTCGCTACCCGAAGGTGTCTCAGAGCAGCTTACAAACTCCTTTCCCTCCCTGTCCCCACAACAGACACCCTGTGAGGCAGGTGGGGCTGAGAGAGCTTTCTCGGAACTGCCCTTGAGATAACAACTCTGAGTGAACTTGTGAGTGACCCAAGGTCACACCAGCAGCTGCATATGGAGGAGTGGGGAATCAAAGCCGGTTCTCCCAGATTAGAGTCAGCCACTACACCAAACTGACGCCCTATATTGTATTTTATTAGTATATTATATGTAAAAAAATTCTCCTCTTTATTGATTAATTCAGAGTAGGGCGCAAGGAGGGAACTATTTCTCCTGACCCCTCAAGAGGAGGGGGGGAAAGGGTGAGGAAACAGTGTGACGCGTCCCTGCAAGCACGTGGTATCAGGAGTCCCATCACCACCGCTTCCCCCGCAAATCCCTCCGCCGCCCTGAGGCGAAGAAGCACGACCGAGACCGAAAAGGTGCGAGAACTTCCGGCAAAATAAACTATGAGGGCGGTTATTACCCACAATCCTCTAGGGTATCACAGAGTCCTGCCGCTCTAGGCTATCGTGTCCCTTACTATTGCCCCGGATACGAGGGGAAAGAATCACTTCCGTTTCAAACCGGAAGTGGCTGGAAAGACACCTGGAGTGCGGCGGACGAAGACGCTCTAGCGCCTTCCCGAACCTCGACGCTACCCTGAGCTTCGGGGAGGTGGGGGGTCGCGCCGGAACTTCCGGATCCGCCATTATGTTTCCTCTTCTTCCGCTTGGGTTGAGTGGAGGGGGAGGGGCGCCATCAATTTAGAAATATAGAGAAATAAACACCGAAGGACGATAAATATGAGCGATAATTTAAATAGCCACGCAGCAGTATTTCCGTTTCTAAACAATTAATTAAGGGAATTAAGGACGGTTCCCCCCCGCAATTAGACCAAACCTGGCGCCCCTCCCCGCCTCTCAGGGGTGAGTCTGGGGCTATAACATGTGGGGGGGGGGGAAGTGGCTGGCTGGGGGCTGTAACGGAGTGGGGGTGGGAAGCTCGCATTTGCTGAAGGCTCTTTTCTTTCCTCTGAATTAATTGGGGTGTGTGTGTCCAGGAATGGGTTTGGAGGAGGGGAGGAATAAGGAATAACCCCCCCCCCCAGGGTTTTGGAAAGGGGGAGCTGAAAGGCTTTGGGAGTTCAAAACATGGCCCTCCCCTTCCAGAAGCGAGGAAGAGGGATAATTCCCCCCACCTTTGGGCCATGAGAGAGGTTTGATTCCCCCACTCCTCCACATGTAGCTGCTGAATGACCTTGGGTCTTTCTTTCTCTCTTTCTCTCTTTCTCTCTTTCTTTCTTTCTTTCTTGGTTAAGTATGTGGACTCTAATCTGGGAGAACCGGGTTTGATTCCCCACTCCTCCACTTGCACCTGGCTGGATGACCTTGGGTAAGCCGTAGTTCTGACAAGAGTTGTTCTTGAAAAAGCAGTTTCTGTCAGAGCTCTCTCAGCCCCACCGACCTCACAAGGGTGTCTGTTGTGGGGAGGGGAAGGGAAAGGAGTTTGTGAGCAGCTCTGAGACACCTTCGGGTAGTGAAGGGCGGGGGATAAATCCAATCTTTTCTTTCTTTCTTTCTTTCTTTCTTTCTTTCTTTCTTTCTTTCTTTCTTTCTTTCTTTCTTTCTTTCTTTCTTTCTTGTGCATGGACTCTAATCTGGGAGCACCGGGTTTGATCCCCCACTCCTCCACTTGCACCTGGCTGGGTGACCTCAGGCAAGCCGTAGTTCTGACAAGAGCTAAAATGAACAGTTTCTGTCAAGAGCTCTCTCAGCCCCACCTACCTCGCAGGGTGTCTGTTGTGGGGAGGGAAAGGGAAAGGAGTTTGTAAGCCGCTCTGAGACACCTTCGGGTAGTGAAGGGCGGGGGATAAATCCAATCCTTCCTTCCTTCCTTCCTTCCTTCCTTCCTTCCTTCCTTCGTTGTGTGGCCGTGGTCTTGGCATTGTAGAACCTGACGTTTCGCCAGTAACTGTGACTGGCATCCTCAGAGTACTCTCTGTGTCCATCTTTTTGTGTTCTACCTCTGAGGATGCCAGTCTCAGTTACTGGCGAAACGTCAGGTCCTACAATGCCAAGACCACGGCCACACAGTCCGGAAAATTTACAGCAGCTAATGAACTCCAGCCAAAGTCTTTGACAACATAGCAAGCATCTAATTGGAAATACATATGATATATCTACAGCATATATAGGAATTATAATTAATGCTGTCTTGCATATAATTTTTCACGCTACATCTTCTGTGTAAAACTTGTCAGAAAAAGCATTTCACTTATTCCAAAAGAGAATTTTTTCCTAGGTTTTTTTCCTGTGGTTCCCAGTTTTTTAATTGAAAAAAATGGTGCTGAAGTACTCCCCCCCCCACCTCTGGAAACAACTGGACACTTTCTTGAATTTTTTCATGCCTTTTCATCCCTAGGCTGCCCCTACACCTTCCCCTGTTCACACAGAGACCTTTGAAAGGGCAAAACGATTGGCGGGGGCAGTTCCCTTTGCCATGTGAGATTATTGGGGGTGTGTGTGTGTTAAACAGTGCTGTGTGGGAAGGGGGCTTGAACGGTGGTGATCAGTGTGTGTGGTGTTCTGGAACTGGTGGAAGGGTTCTGTCAGGCAAGGCAGGAAAGGGCATCATATTAAGATGAGGGCTATTTTGAAAAGTGAAGCATTGTCCCGTCTGTGAATGCCCCTCTGCCCCATCAGATCCAATGTTTTGTCTTGTTGTTTTTTTTAAAGCTGCCTGGGGCCTGTGAAATGCCGCACGCGTGGATCGTTTGTGACCCCCGGAGACGCAAGCAGTGGGGAGTTTGACCCTCCGTCCCGTCTCAGCTGGATGCTGAGCTCATAAAATTTTCCCTTTCTCCCTCTCTTCTCAAAAGTACAGCTGTTCAAAGCGATCCATTCCCATGAATAAAGATGTCACTGGTGGATCTGGGGAAGAGACTGTTGGAGGCCGCTCGCCTAGGCCAAGATGACGAAGTGAGGACGCTGATGGCGAATGGAGCTCCGTTCACCACGGATTGGGTACGTACGGAGCAGAGGAAGTCGCGCGGGAAATTGCGCGGGAAATAGCCGACTCACGCACAGTTGTCCAGTCCCCCCCTTCCAAACTGCAGGCCTGCAAAAGGGTACTAAAAACTGTTGCGTTATGTTCTGCTTTATAAAAAGATATATCAGTTACTCAGTCCAGTGACTGTAAGTTCAGCAGTTCATAGAATCATAGAATGTTCGAGTTGTAAGGGACCTTGCAGGTCATCTAGTCCAACCCCCCGCACTCTGCAGGAGCACAGCTGAAAGATAGCCCTACGACATACCCGAAAGATGATCGTACAGCCTCCGCTTGAAAACATCCAGCGAAGGAGCATCCACCACCTCTCGCCTTGGGAGGTGGTGAGTTCCCCCTGACCAGTGTTCCCTCTAAGCTGAGTTAATGTGAGCTAGCTCACAGAGTTTTAGCCTCCGGCTCACACATTTTTGCCTCAGCTCAGGAAGGATGGCTCCAGAGCAAACTCATTTATGCAGTAGCCAAATTGCTCGCTCACAACTTTAATACCAGTAGCTCACAAAGTAGGATTTTTGCTCACAGGACTCCACAGCTTAGAGGGAACGTTGCCCCTGACTGGCAGTCTTGAAGCAGCGTCTGGATAAACACTTGTCAGGGATGTGCTAAGCCGATCCTGCATTGAGCAGAGGGTTGGACTTGATGGCCTCTAGATCCCCTTCTGTGATTCCATGATACTGTAAAACACACGTGCGTAGGGTAGGAAGGAGGGATCATTTATGCGTGCTATTCTAGTTTCCGCTTTCATTTGTTTTGGTTTTTTTGTAACGGTTTTACTGTTGTGATTTTTTTTGCTGTCGTAGAATGCTTCTCTTTTTGGTAGAAATGTTTTGCGACTTGTGACAGTTTCCATCGCGTTTGATCGTCTGCAGTTTTCCCCTTTGTGAACTGCTTCAGCAGATCTGTGAATCAAGAGCTTAAACGTGTTTTAAGCAAGTAGGCAGCAAAAGCACTGACTGTTGTGTTTAACCGCTTGACAGCTGGGAACGTCACCCCTTCACCTCGCGGCTCAGTACGGCCATTATTCCACCGCAGAAGTCCTGCTTCGGGCCGGGGTGAGCCGGGATGCTCGGACCAAGGTGGACAGGACACCACTGCACATGGCAGCCGCCGACGGACACTCGCACATCGTGGAGCTGCTGATCAGGGTGAGCCAGGCTCTGTCGTGGATGAAGGTGTTGAAGAATATCAGAAGGGCCCCCCTGGGTCAAACCAGTGGTCCAGGTAGTCCAGCCTCCTGTCTCACACAGTGGCCAACCAGTTTCTCTGGAGGGCCGACAACAGGGCCAAGGCCTTCCCCTGAGGAGAACATCAGAAAAGCCCTGCTTGGTCAAACCAGTGGTCCAGGTAGTCCAGCCTCCTGTCTCACACAGTGGCCAACCAGTTCCTCTGGAGGGCCAGCAACAGGGCAGAGAGGCCGAGGCCTTCCCCTGAGAAGAACATCAGGAGATCCCTGCTGGATCAGACCAGTATGCCACCTAGTCCAGCCCCCCATCTCACACAGGGGCCAACCAGTTCCTCTGGAGGGCCAGCAACCGGGCAGAGAGGCCAAGGCCTTCCCCTGAGAAGAACCTCAGAAGAGCCCTGCTGGGTCAGACCTGTGAAGGTCCCTCTAGTCCAGCCTCCTGTCTCACACAGGGGCCACCCAGTTCTTCTGGAGGGCCAGCAACAGGCCAGAGAGGCCGAGGCCTTCCCTTGAGAAGAACCTCAGAAGAGCCCTGCTGGGTCCGACCACTGGGCCATCAGTTCCTGTGGAGGGCCAACAAACAGGGCAGAGAGGCTGAGGCCATTTGTTGTGGTGGTTAAGTGTGTGGACTCTAATCTGGGAGAACCGGGTTCAATTCCACTTGTACCTGGCTGGATGACCTTGGGCAAGCCATAGTTCTGATAAGGGCTGTCCTTGAAAAAAGAGCCGTTTCTGTCAAGAGCTCTCTCAGCCCCACCTACCTCACAGGGTGTCTGTCGTGGGGAGGGGAAGGGAAAGGAGTTTGTAAGCCGCTCTCCCTTGGGTAGTGAAGGGCGGGGTATAAATCCAATCTCTTCTTCTTCCACTGATCAGAACACCAGAAGAGCCCTGCAGGATCAGGCCAGTGAGGGTCCATCTAGTCCAGCCTCCTGTCTCACACACATTGGTCAACTGGGCCCTCTGGAGGGCCAGCAACAGGGCACAGAGGCCGAGGCCTTCCCCTGATGTTGCCTCCTGGCACTGGGATTCAGAGGTTCAGTGCCTCTGAATTTGGAGGTTCTCCTCAGTCACCAGAGTTAGTAGCCTTTGGTAGACTTATCCTCAATGAATGCTGTCTCATCCCCTTTTAAAGCCGTCCGTGCCTGTGGCCATCTCTCCATCCTCTAGCAGTGAATTCCACATTTTAATCATTCTCTGCGTAAAGTAGTATTTCTTTTTCTTCGTCCTGAACCTACTGCTCATCAGCTTCGGTGGATGGCCCTGAGTTCTAGTCTTTTGGGAGGGGGAGAAAATTTTTTCCTTTTGTCAGCTCTCTCAACCCCACGTATAATTTTATAAACCTCTCTCACGTCCCTGTCCCCCCCGTAGTCGACTCTTTTCTAAACTGAAAGGTCCCTGTCTCCCCAGCCATTCCTCATAGGGAAGGGGCTCCAGGTTGGCTTCATGTTGAAACCGGCCGGAGGTGGGGCCCCTGCGGAGATCCCACCACGACACCAGGGGAGCACCCTCCGGGAATTGGTGCAAGCCAAAGAGGGGGGCTGGCAGAGCAGGGTCTGTAAGTAAGAGCCGGCCTCTCCTGCCACACAGGCCGGTGGCTCATCCAGCCCAACACTCTGTGTCACACAGTGGCCCCAACCAAGGAACCATCAGGAGGTCCACCAGCGGTACCAGGACTCCAGAAGCCCTCCCACTCTTGCCCTCCCCCCAGGCGCCAAGAAGACAGAGCATCACTGCCCCAGACATAAGAACCTAAGAGAAGCCATGTTGGATCAGGCCAATGGCCCATCCAGTCCAACACTCTGTGTCCCACAGTGGCCAAAACCCAGGGGCCCTCAGGAGCAGGACTCCAGAAGCCCTCCCACTCTTGCCCTCCCCCCAAGCACCAAGAAGACAGAGCATCACTGCCCCAGACATAAGAACCTAAGAGAAGCCAGTGTTGAATCAGGCCAAGGGCCCCTCCAGTCCCAACACTCTGTGTCCCACAGTAGCCAAAACCCAGGGGCCACCAGGAGGTCCACCAGCGGGGCCAGGACTCCAGAAGCCCTCCCACTGTTGCCCCCCCCCCAAGCTCCAAGTAGACAGAGCATCCCTGCCCCAGCAGAGTGTTCCATCTAGACCTTGTGGCTAATAGCCAGTGCTGGACCTCTGCTGATCAGTAGTGCCATTATTTTCCTTTGCACGGGGGGTGGGGGGGGACCGTGTTTGCACCCTCCTTTCCATTTCCTTTCTTCACAGCAGCTGTTTCCCCCCCTGCTTCTCAGAATGGTGCCGACGTGAACGCCAAGGACATGCTGAAGATGACCGCCCTGCACTGGGCGGCGGAGCACAGCCACTGGGACGTCGTCGGGCTGCTCCTCAAACACGGGGCGGATGTCCACGCCTTCAGCAAGTTTGATAAGTCCGCTTTCGACATAGCCTTGGAGAAGAACAATCCAGAAACCCTGATGCTGCTGCAGGTGAGGTTCCCCCCTCTGGCCTTGTGCATTGCCAGGTGCTTCACGCGTCGCCTGTGATCTCCCGGTCGGCCAAATTCGCTGTCTAGAAAAGGAACACATCAACATGTGAAGCTGCTTTCTACTGAATCAGATCCTTGGTCCGTCAAAGTCAGTATCGTCTACTCGGACTGGAAGCTGCTCCTCAGGGTCTCAGGTGGAGGACTTTCCCATCCCCTCCTGCCTGGTCCTTTTAACCGGAGATTCCGGGGATTGAACCTGGGACCTTCTGCATGCCAAGCAGAGGCTCTGCCACTGAGCCACAGCCCCTCTTCACAGCTCTCCATGGTCTCAGTCGGAGGTCTTTCCCATCACCTCCTGCCTGGTCCTTTCAACTGGAGATGCCAGGGATTGAACCTGGGACCTCAGGCGTGCCAAGCAGAGGCTCTGCCACTGAGCCATGGCTTCTCTCCATGGCTCTCCAGGGTCTCAGGCGGAGGTCTTTCATGTCACCGCCTACCTGATCCTTTTAACTTTTTAAAATCCTTTTAATTCGAGACCAATAGCGCCTTTAGGGACCAACAAGATTTTCGGGGTATGAGCTTTCAAGCGTCAAAAACACTACTGACACTGTTTTTTCAGCCTTGAAGGAGAGTCAGCTCCCCTCTCCCTCCCCCCCTCTCATACACACACACACACACACACAGTTTGGTGTAGTGGTTAAGTGTGCGGACTCATCTGGGAGAACCGGGTTTGATTCCCCACTCCTCCACTTCTACCTGGCTGGATGACCTTGGGCAAGCCGTAGTTCTGATAAGAGCTGTCCTTGAAAAAGAGCCGTTTCTGTCAAGAGCTCTCCCAGCCCCACCTGCCTCACAGGGTGTCTGTTGTGGGGAGGGGAAGGGAAAGGAATTTGTGAGCCGCTCTGAGACTCCAAGTGAAGGGTGGGGTATAAATCCAGTCTCCTCCTCTTCTTCTTCTTCTTTATCAATTCCCTTCTAAGGCACTCAGGGTAGCCTATGTGGTTTGGCCCTCCCTCACACCCTTACAGTTGTCTTATAAGGTTGGTCAGGGTGAGGGAGAGCGACTGGCCCGGCCTCCGCCAGGGAGCTTAACGACTCCCTGGGGATCTGAATCCAGGCCTTCAAGCTCCTAGGCTGACATTCTTACTGCTACTCTCGGGGGGGCGGGGCGGTCCCCAACACGGCGCCCGTGGGCGCCATGGTGCCCGCTGACCCCTTTCCTGGCACCTGCCAAGTTTTGTGAGAGAGTGGGTGGGGCCAGGTAGGACTCTTGCCCAGCAGTCCTTCCGATTGGCCGTTTCAGATTTGATTGACTGGTCAGATTTCTCAGAGTGTCGCTTCGAAAGCAGCTGCCTCCTGCGTGACTGATGGTAAGTCATGGCGGCCATTTTATAGCTGGCTTCGCCTCCGGCAGCAGCCGTTTTGTGGCTGTGCCCCCACCGTGCTGTGTCAGAATCTCAAAGACGTGTGCTGGTGTAGAAAGGTAGTGCCTGCCCCCTGAAAAGCGGCATCAGCTCCATGAATTTTGGAAAAGTGGCATCAGTTCCACCCCCCCCATTCTTACTAAAAGCAACAAGGGCATGTGAAGGAATGGCTCCGTTTGGCCCGTGGAAAGCTGTGCTTGGCAGTCGACACGGCCGTCTGTCTGAGTACCGGCGTTATCTTCCTCAGGGGGCGATGCAAAACCAGGTCAATCCGCACCAGGATAGGATGACCTCCATCCCAGGCACCGTGACGGTGGGCCAGCCCTTTATCTTGACCTCGGGAGGAGTGCTGAGTTTAGCGAGCATCGTCTCCTCGGCAGCCACCAAACCAACCCGAGGTAAGACTCTGTGAACACAAAGATCTCGTAATTCTCTCTGTCTTCCCATTTCTGTTGGTGAGGCTGGGAGAGGTGCGTTTCCCCACTGCCGAGTAACGCAGTATACAATAACAAGGACAAAATTACACGGTGGAGAGTACAAATTACTCGAGGTCAGATTGCACTCAAGTGGACGTCACTTGACAGCCGTGGATGTTTCGTTAGTCTTCTTCAGAGTCGGAGTATTCTTACGGAACTAATACAAATATCAAAACAAGGAAAAACAGGAGTGAGATGAGGAATGCAAAATATGTAAACTTTATGGGTAAGTCAGGCTTCAAGTAGTTTGCAATAAGTTTTGAAGTGTGTTCTGAATATCTATATACAAGATGCTTTGCTTGTTTTGATATTTGTATCGGTACCATAAGAATACTCCGACTCTGAAGAAGACTAACGAAACATCCACGGCGTTCAAGTGACGTCCACTTGAGTGTAATCTGACCTTGAGTAATTTCTGCTCTCCGTCGTGTAATTTTGTTCCTGTTACTGTACTAAGTATTCTCTCACTCGGGTGCCCCTCTCATTGGTCAGATGCTGAGCCTCTTGCTGGCCTTCTGTGCCTTCTGCCTCTCTCCTCTCTCTCTATCACCTGGGCTTGGAGCTGCAGCAAGTTGACCTTTTTGAACTTCATCTGTTCACAATAATTTCAAGGGACCGACCTGAATGTGTCATGTGAGAGGTGCTTCTGTTTGTGTGAGTATGATTTCTTTCTCTTGTCTCCATTGGAGTCAGATCACCTTTTCAGTTGTTTGAACCGCATTTTTCCCTTATGTTTGGTGTCGTGGTTAAGTCTGCAGACTGTAATCTGGGAGAGCCGGGTTTGATTCCCCCACTCCTCCACTTGCACCTGCTGGATGACCTTGGGCAAGCCGTACTTCTGATAAGAGCTGTTCTTGAAAAAGGGCCGTTTCTGTCAAGAGCTCTCTCAGCCCCACCTGCCTCACAGGGTGTCTGTTGTGGGGAGGGGAAGGGAAAGGAGTTTGTAAGCCGCTCTGAGACTCCTTCAGGTAGTGAAGGGCAGGGGTATGAATCCAACCTCCCCCCCCTCCCCTCCTCTTCCTCTTCTTCCTCCTCTTCCTCCTCCTCCTCTTCTTCCTTCTTTTTGGAAACGTGGAGGATCAGAGATACTGCATAAAGTTTCTGGGCTTCCAAGGCAGATTGATTGATTGATTGATTTATATATATATATATGTATGTATGTATATATATGTATATATACACACACACACACATAACATCCAATAAACCAGCCCCATGGCCTTCCTTTGGCCAGCACGGTGCACTTTTTACACCTCCCTAAAACCTAACGCTTCATTTTCAAAAACCCAAGAGTGGTGAACTCACAGTTATGTGGCTCTCTAGACCAGGGGTGTCAAACATGCCGCCCGGGGGGCCGGATCAGCCCCCCCCCCCCCCGGGCTTTTTTCAGGCCCCCAGCTTTTATCAGGCCCGCAGTGGAACTGGCTGTTTCCTGCTGCTTCTTCCAGTTCTACTGCATCATCGTAGGTTTCCAGCTTACAGATACACACTTGAACAGCACACTAAAGGTAGCAACAGCACAGACATTTTGATGCAATAATTCAGAGCAAGAGGTGTCAGTTAACGGACACGGCTAAATGAACAAAATATTGCAAGAGTGCTGATGTTTTAAGCATGTTTTTTATTTTAAGTAAAAAAACCCCTTTGTTTTTGTGTCCTTTATAAAGTTTATATCTCTGCTAGCCGGCATTACATTTTATGACAGACATGGCCTGGCCCAACAAGGTCTCATTTATGTCAGATCCGGACATCATAACAGCTGAGTTCGACACCCCTGCTCTAGATTTCTGAGACATGGCACTGTTTTGTTCCCTTTGATTTAGAAGAAGAAGAGATTGGATTTACAATCTCCTTTCCCTTCCTCTCCTCACAACAGACACCCTGGGAGGTGGGTGGGGCTGAGAGAGCTCTCTTGAGGACTGCTCTTGAGAGAACAGCTCTGAGAGAACTTGTGACTGACCCAAGGTCACACTAGCGGCTGTATGCGGAGGAGGAGTGGGGAATCAAACCTTGGTCTCCCAGATTAGGGTCCGTGCTCCTAACCACGACACCACACTGGCTCAGGAGTAGGCAGTCTTTTTTGCCTGAGTGACAAAAAAAAAGCAACATCCACCTTTGAAGGTATTGGTGTGCCCATAAGAACATCAGAAAACCCCAGCATCCTGTCTCACACAGTGGCCAACCACTTCTTCTGAAGGGCCAACAACAGGGCAGAGAGGCCGAGGCCTTCCCCTGAGAAGAACCTCAGAAGAGCCCTGCTGGATCAGACCAGGGAGGGTCCATCCAGTCCAGCCTCCTGTCTCACACAGTGGCCAGCCGGTTCCTCTGGAGGGCCAGCAACAGGGCAGAGAGGCCGAGGCCTTCCCCTGAGAAGAACCTCAGAAGAGCCCTGCTGGATCAGACCAGGGAGGGTCCATCCAGTCCAGCCTCCTGTCTCACACAGTGGCCAGCCGGTTCCTCTGGAGGGCCAGCAACAGGGCAGAGAGGCCGAGGCCTTCCCCTGAGAAGAACCTCAGAAGAGCCCTGCTGGATCAGACCAGTGAGGGTCCCTCTAGTCCAGCCTCCTGCCTCACACAGTGGCCTCAACCAGAGGGCAGGAACTGGATGCGTGGAGTCATGGGAGAAGAAAGTTATCCTTGGCCAGGTGCTTTGGGAGCCAGCCTAGCTCCAGAGCTGCTTCCAGCTCTGCCAAGGCTCCCCTCGGTTGCTTGGCCAAAGAACCAGCCCTTCATAATAAGCAAACGCTCTGCTACTCCGCCGTCCCATACGCGTGCCTCGAATTTCACTCATTCTCTCTCTCCCCCCAGCGATTTTTTAAAAAAAACTTTCCTTTGACTCTTGCAGCCATCTCAGAGGAGATTGTGGAGACCCGTTTGGCGGACTCCCCCCTGCAACACATGTTCAGCAGCGGCGGGCAGCGAGTGATTGCCATTGTGACCGACGGCATCCCGCTGAGCGGCCTCCGGACGGCCATCCCCGCCGGCGGCCTCAGCCAGCCATTCATCATCACCATGCAGAACGGGCAGCAAGGTACGGCGGGGCGAGTCCCACTGTCCTTTCTGGGGTGAGCCAGCCAGTGTTCCCTCTCAGCTGAGTTGGTGTGAGCCAGCTCACGGTTTTCTAGCCTCGAGCGCACACATTTTTACCTTAGCTCAGGAAGGCTGAATGAATGAATTAACGTCTGTTTGCGGTCAAAGACCATTTTTCGTAAGAATACAATATTATACAGTCAAAGAGATTTGTTCCAGCACAGAAAGTACGTTTCGTCATAAAAACCTTAAAATATTTGTGAACTATAATAAAAAAAACCCTTAAGAGATATCTAAAATGTCTAGTCTGTGTAAAATGGTTACAAGTCCTACAAAGAAAAACTGTACATAACCATACTTCTTCCCCCCCCCCCAATAAATTTTATTAATTATACACAAATAATACAAATAAAAACCAAGACAGTTTAAATCGCCAAGTTTTGATAGATTCTGACATGCATAATATGAGACAGTATACAGTACACTGTAACATGAGAACAATAAAGATTTTATAGAAAATTAAGTGGTTGAAGTGAACACCTCCTAAATTGACATGTGGACATTGAATATAACCATACTTCTTATTGTGAAATCTTACCAAGTAGAAGAGGAGGAGAGTGGATTTATACCCCGCCCTTCACTACCTGAAGGTGTCTCAGAGCGGTTTACAAACTCCTTTCCCTTCCCCTCCCCACAACAGACACAATCTCTTCTTCTCTTCTTCTATGAGCGCTTTATGAAGTGTAATGAAGTTACTGAGGAAGAGCTATTGAAAGGAAGACTGAAATCCGGAGTCTTCATCCCTGTGTCTTCTGTGCCAGTTTCCTTTGTATGCTCTGCATTACTTTTTGTATTTTTGTATTATACTTATGCAGAAGAACAAGAGATTGGATTTATACCCCGCCCTTCACTACCCAAGGGAGTCTCAGAGCGGCTCACAAACTCCTTTCCCTTCCCCCTCCCCACAACAGGCACCCTGTGAGATAGGTGAGGCTGAGAGAGCTCTGACAGAAACTGCTCTTTTTCAAGGACAGCTCTTGTCAGAACTACGGCTTGCCCAAGGTCATCCAGCCAGGTGCAAGTGGAGGAGTGGGGGAATCAAACCTGGTTCTCCCAGATTAGAGTCCGCGCACTTCACCACTACACCACTACACCAAATTGGCACCAAACACCAAACTACAGAGACTGACTCGGGCATTTGACCAGCTGTACCTTTTGTATTTCTACCCAGTCTATTTTGGCTTCCTGTATCCCTCTTGCATTTTGCACCCCACCATTTGTTTTGCTTGCTGCGCCCCTCGCCCTTATCGCTAGCCCTTGCCTGCCATTACATTCCTTGGGGGCGGGAGTGAGTGGCCTGTAGTAACTTAGGGAGGCTAGCGTCGGTAACTCTTCCTGGCAGCCTCAAAGACATCTTTCACACGGGAAGTGTCCTTGAAATAGAGCCTGTGGCCGGCTAGTTGTTGACCGTATACCTTCCGTGGTCTTTGTAGTGAATACAGTACATAAAATCACATAAATCCATACATAGAATGTTAAAAACTGAAACATAATAAAACATAGTAAAGCGCTAGCAATATCCTCAGTTTACGGTCAGCTCTTCGATCTTCTTCGGCTATCTTAGGTGATTGGCATGGGCAGTATTTAAGGGACCAGGGAAGAAGCATCTCATATCTCTAAATAAAACATTCACTGAATTTTATTTATTTATTTATTATTTATTTTTGAGATTTCTATGCCGCCCTACCCAATGGCTCAGGGCGGCTAACAACAAGTTTAAAAATTGAGTGCAAAAAAACACTGTTACACATATAGTAAAATCTGGTGCTACAAAAGCCTACATAGAAATACACAAAACACAGCGACCCACATTTAACAGCTAGTATTCTTAAAAGCGAGAGCGCCAGGAACAGTATTTCACAACACAGTCGGGCAACATCTGCTCCCCAAGATGCGATAGATGGATAATATCGTCGCGGTGGTGGTATAGCGACAGCGGCGGCTCCTACCCAAAGGCCTGGTGGAAGAGCTCCGTCTTGCAGGCCCTGCGGAACTGCATGAGGTCCTGCAGGGCCCGGATCTCCTCCGGGAGCTCATTCCACCAGGCAGGAGCCGCCACCGAAAACGCCCTAGATCTAGTGTGGGCCAGCCTCGCAGCTCGGGGGCTTGGAACTTCAAGGCGATTGATTTGACTGGGAACCTGACAGGTAGGCGGGACTGGCCCTGGTTGGATGAGAGACCTACTGAGGAGGTCCAGGGTCGCTCCGCAGAGGCAGACAATGGCAAACCCACCTCTGTTCGTCTCTTGCCTTGACAAGAGCCAGTTTGGTGTCGTGGTGAAGTGCGCGGACTCTAATCTGGGAGGAACCGGGTTTGGTTCCCCACTCCTCCACTTGCACCTGGCCGGATGACCTTGGGCAAGCCGTGGTTCTGACAAGAGCTGTTCTTGAAAAAGAGCCGTTTCTGTCAGGAGCTCTCTCAGCCCCACCGACCTCACAGGGTGCCTGTTGTGGGGAGGGGAAGGGAAAGGAGTTTGTAAGCCGCTCTGAGACTCCCTTGGGCAGTGAAGGGCGTGGTATAAATCCACTCTCCTTCTCTTCTACTTGGTAAAATTTCACAATAAGAAGTATGGTACATAAGAAGTATGGTACAAAAGGTACAGCTGGTCAAATGCCTGAGTCAGTCTCTGTTGTTTGGTGTTTGGTGCCAGTTTGGTGTAGTGGTTAAGTACACAGACTCTAATCTGGGAGAACCGGGTTTGATTCCCCACTCCTCCACTTGCACCTGGCTGGATGACCTTGGGCAAGCCGTAGTTCTGATAAGAGCTGTCCTTGAAAAAAGAGCAGTTTCTGTCAAGAGCTCTCTCAGCCCCACCCACCTCACAGGGTGCCTGTTGTGGGGAGGGGAAGGGAAAGGAGTTTGTAAGCCGCTCTGAGACTCCTTTGGGTAGTGAAGGGCGGGGTATAAATCCACTCTCCTTCTCTTCTACTTGGTAAAATTTCACAATAAGAAGTATGGTACATAAGAAGTATGGTACAAAAGGTATAGCTGGTCAAATGCCTGAGTTTGGTGTTTGGTGCCAGTTTGGTGTAGTGGTTAAGTACACAGACTCTAATCTGGGAGAACCGGGTTTGATTCCCCACTCCTCCACTTGCACCTTGCTGGATGACCTCGGGCAAGCCGTAGCTCTGATAAGAGCTGTCCTTGAAAAAGAGCAGTTTCTGTCAAGAGCTCTCTCAGCCGCACCCACCTCACAGGGTGTCTGTTGTGGGGAGGGGGAGGGAAAGGAGTTTGTCAGCCGCTCTGAGACACCTTTGGGTAGTGAAGGGCGGGGCATAAATCCAATCTCTTCTTCTCTTCTTCTCCGGGGGTCGCCATAAGTGGGCTACGGCTTGACGCCAATTTCCACCGCCATACTAACACCCCCTTTCCTTCCATGTGTAGTTCTCACTGTGCCTGCTGGCCAGGTGGCAGAGGAGATGGTCGTTGAAGAGCAAAGCGAAGAGAATCACGTAGTGGAGGAGGAAGAGCTCCCGGCCAAGAAGATAAAAGTGGAAGAAGATGGGGACGATTATGAGGAAAGCCAGGTAAAAACAGGAGAGCAGGGAGCAAGTGCCGTGCGGCGTAGGCTGCTCCGTCAGTATTGCCTGCCTGGCTCAGCAGGGTCTCAGGCAGAGGAAGGGCTTTGGCAGCACGTGAGGCTTCTCAGCCCGCAGCGGATCCGGAACCTTTCTGTGCCCAGAGCCGGTGGCTCGGGTCTGGCTCCTCCCAGGGAGGGGCTCCGGAAGGCTAACTTTCCCTGCCAATCAGCTCCCAGGATTCACATCACATCGTGCCTGTAGCTCATTAGACCGGGCTAGCCCCGTCTCATCAGATCTTGGAAGCTAAGCAGGGTCTGTCATTGTAGGAGGTTCTTTTGCCTGTGGATGGGCTTCAAAAGGGAATTAGATAAGCATATGGAGCAGAGGTCCACCAGTGGCTATTAGCCACAAGGTATAGATAGGGGCTCTGGGTCAAGGGATGCTCTGTCTTCTTGGTGCTTGGGGGGGGGGTCAACAGTGGGAGGGCTTCTAATGTCCTGGCCCCACTGGTGGACCTCCTGATGGCACTGGTATTTCTGGCCACTGTGTGATACAGAGTGTTGGACTGGATGGGCCTTTGGCCTGATCCAACATTGGCATCTCTTATGTTCTTATGAGGTCTCCAGACTGTGAAACATGCTAATGGAGGAGGTTTCCTGCTTCCTGAGGAGGTTCTTTTGCCTGTGGATTGGCTGTTCTAATCTAATCTGTAGTGCTATTGTCACATGTAGAGACCTTTGTGTTTTTCAGGACAGGAAACCATGCCCTACATCCAATTACCGTGTCAGATTACACAGGGAAGCCATTGAAATCCATAAACATAAGCACAATTTCAACAGGAAAGAACAGAGTTTAAAAAATAAATAGGGAATGTTTTCCTGTCACAGCTATTGGCGAAGCGTCAGGTCCTGCAGTGCCAAGACCATGGCCATACGACCCGGAAAATCTACAACAGCTAATAAACTTTCGGATAGTTGCCGTAGGGCAGGGATTTACTTCCTTCACCTGCTGGAAGAGAAGGGAGAAGACACAGAAAAGAGCGAGAGTCCAGTAGCACCTTTTAAAGACTTATCAAAATTCGTGGCGGGGGAGGCGGTTTTGTGAGTCAGGGCTCACTCCTTCAGATACCTTCCATTCTGCACGGCTAAATGTGGTGCCTTCTGTGGAGATAGATCAAGATGGGTAGCCATGTTAGTCTGTAGCAGCAGAAAAGAACCAGAGTCCAGCAGCATCCTTAATTTTTTTTAAATGTTTTTTATTTATTATTGAAGTTTATATACATTATCTTACATTAAATCATTATACAATCATTTTACCCCCCTCCCCCCCTCCCTCCTTGTAGTATCTTCATATTTTTAACCATGTGCACAGATTCTTCATTCGTATTTGGATATTTGGATTGGCTTCCCCCCTTTCCACCCATTCCTTATATCCCTCCCATTTATTTGTAATCTTTTGACATTTCTCCTCCCATGTCTCTTCAGTAATTATCTGTGTGAATATATCTGATAGTATGTGTTCAAAGACATAATTATTCCATTTCTCCATTGTCCACTTATGCCTATCCCTCCATCCCAATGCTATTACAGCCATCCCGGCTAAAACCATAATTTTATATAACTCCCGTTTATTTCTTTCCACTTTTTTGTTTCCCAATATTCCAGAAATAAGCAAATCCCTGTTAATCTCTACATTAACTTGAAATAAATCAAAGATAACCCTTACAATCTTTTGCCAAAATTTCTTAACCACTTTACATTCCCACCACATATGTGCGTATAAACCTACTTCTTGGCCACAGTGCCAACATTTTGGATTCATTCCTTTAATCATATACGCTATCTGAGCCGGAGTTCTATACCACTTCCACATAAATTTCCTCACCAATTCTTTATCTATTTTAATTTGATTTATACCGTTCTTTATTTCTTGAATCACTTCCTGATGCATTAACCCTTCTCCCTCCCATTTATTCTGTATAACCCTTATCATCCTCTCCTTATCTCTTACCATCAGTTTATATAATGCCCCCGCTATCCCTTTGTCTTTTACTTGTCTTCTGCTTAATATTTCATCAATTTCTGTTCCAGCAGCATCCTTAAGACTAACAAAATTGGTGGCAGGGAAAGCTTTCGTGAGTCACGGCTCACTCCTTCAGATAGATCAAGATGGGCAGCCGTGTTAGTCTGTAGCAGCAGAAAAGAACCAGAGTCCAGCAGCAATCTCTAAGACTAACAAAATTGGTGGCAGGGAATGAGCTTTCGTGAGTCACGGCTCACTCCTTCAGATACAGCTACGATGTGAGTCCTTCTGTCCTATCTTGGAGAGAGGAGTGAATTCAGATGTCAGATGACAATAGCAGGTGTGATTGGATTAGGTGTGAAAGTGTTCTGGTTTTTTCTCTCTCCATACCCCATGAGATCTAGTACTTGTCCCAGTTTGGTGTAGTGGTTAGGTGCGCGGACTCTAATCTGGGAGAACCGGGTTTGATTCCCCACTCCTCCACTTTCACCTGGCTGGATGGCCTTGGGCAAGCCAAGGCACAGTTCTGATAAGAGCTGTCCTTGAAAAAGAGCAGTTTGTGTCAGAGTTCTCTCAGCCCCACCCACCTCAGAGGGTGTCTGTTGTGGGGAGGGGAAGGGAAAGGAGTTTGTGAGCCGCTCTGAGACTCCAAGTGAAGGGCGGGGTATAAATCCAATCTCTTCTCTTCTTCTTCTTAAGAACATAAGAACATAAGAGATGTTGGATCAGGCCAAAGGCCCATCCAGTCCAACACTCTGTATCACACAGTGGCCAGAAAAGCCACTGAAAAAAGAAGCCGCGACAAACAGAGAGAAGCGCGGCGCCCTGCTTCCGTCCCCCTTGCAAAAAGCTTGTTTCTTCATCTGACATTTTTTATGCCGGCTTTCCACCCAGTTCGCACAAGGGGGCGGACATAAAAAAAAATGCAGACGTTTCAGCGATTGTAATAAGGTTAAAACAGTAACGTAATTCAGTTAAAAATCCACAAATGAACAACACTAGAAGGAGAGCCAGTAACCATTATTAGAGGGGTGTTTATTTATTTAATGCAGGCTGGCTGCAACTAGGGCCAGGGCTTTCTCGGTGGTGGCTCCACACTGGTGGAACGAGCTCCCGGAGGATATCAGGGCCCTGTGGGACCTTTTACAGTTCCGCAAGGCCTGCAAGACGGAGCTCTTCCGCCAGGCCTTTGATTAGGAGCCGTCACCACTATTGACAACCACAACAGCTGTACATCCTGGCTCCTGGTTGGTTATTGACAGCCTAGGAGCGCCGATTATATAGAAGATCAGCAAACTGGTGACTTTAAACAACTGTGGAATGCACCCATACGGTAATCGCCATCGTTATGATATCCTAGAACACAGCTAGCACTTTAATACTTAGTACGGTATTGTTTTAATCGATATGTTTTAAGTGTTTTATGAAATCCAGAGTGTTAATGTGGATTTTATCTTGTGTAAGCCGTCCTGAGCCTGCTTTGGTGGGGTAGGGCGGGGTAGAAGTTGGAAAAATAAATAAATAAATAAAATAATAATATTCCGCCTTCCCCGCGAACTGGCTCAGGCCAGATCACAACAAATAATTAGGCCCAGGGGTCATTTCGTAGAAAAAGAGGTGGAGGAGCTCATTAGCATAACTCATTAGCATAACTTATTTGCATATGCCACACCCCCTGACACCACTGGAAGTGTGTCAGAGGGCAACATCCACGGCAACTTACCTGGCTGCTTCTCGCTCCTCATGGCCCAGGGCTGCTGGGAGCAGGGGGTGGGGCTTGTTGCATGTGCCGGCCCCCTGGGCTCTTTACTGCCGGAGCTCCGCTCCTGTGCGCTCCGGCAGGAAATGACCCCTGATTAGGCCATTCAGCATCACAGAAAGCACAGTAATATGCCAGATGAAACAAAAAAGTCTCCCCCTGCTGGCAAAAGTAAAGGGAGACAGAGGGATCTCCCTGGGGAGGGAGCTCCAGAGTTTTGGTGCCACGACCGAGAAGGCCCTTAATCGTGGGGCCACCCCCATCCAGGTTTAGATGGTGGGGGCGACCGAAGCAGGGCCTCGGGAGACGACTGCAGGGCAGGGGACGAGAAAAACTTACTTGCTGCTTTTTCCCTGTTAAATAGTGGGGGTTCCGTGGGTGAACAGACTCCCAGTCTAGTGATCAGCTCCACTTTATTCAGGGATTTCAGCAAGAACAAGACTCTAGACCAGAGCCTCGGTTATATTGCCTGCAGTGGCCACACCCCAACACACCCCACTTCCAGCGATAGGCTATTTACAAAACTTTCTATCTTAATTGGTTCCTGCCAGAATCCTGTTGGTCTATTGTTACTCGGCTCCAAGCTCGTCCTGTCTCTGGCAGCACCATCCTGCAATGCTTCAGTCCCAATACGTAACACTTCCCCTCCTCCGACCAGCACCCAGTGACAGGGGCACCATTGTTTCCGCAGGACGATAGCGAACGCGAGGCCTTGCAGCTGCAACTCCAGGAGGCCAACCGCAAGGCCCAGGAGTACCGGAGCTGGCTCTGGAAGAAGGAGCGGGAGGCGGAGCGGTACCGGCTGAAGCTGGAAGCCATGGCCGGGCACCAGACCAACGGGACGGAGGCCGAGGAGGGAGGCGAGGTAAACTCGGCCGCGGCGTCCTCGGAAGGGGCAGCCGGGCCCGCGGCGGAAGCAGCCCTACCAGCCAGCATCAAGGCAGAGACGGTAACGTTGTAACCTCCCGAGCGGCTTCTCCGAAGAGGGAGGAAACGAGTGCGGCCAGATGACACTTGCGGACTCTGGCGAAATCGGGACACCGGATCGCTCGCGCGGGCCAGAGCCGTTGGAACCCCAGCCTCCTTTTTGCCCGCCTTTAGCGGCCCGTGGCTCTTCACTTTGCCTTTCCGCGCGCGGCCCTGAAATGAAACAAACCTCGCTTTTTATTACCCTGCACCGTCCAGAGAGATATTTTTGTAAACAGAGACCCCCGTGGGTGCCTTCACGACAGCCAGCCGGTGTCCCGAGAGCCCTCTTCAATACGACAGGGCGGCTTCGTCGGGAGGCCTTGCCCGTCTTTGGAGCGTGGCGGAGCAGCGCTGTTTGTCCCGGACAGTCCTTTGGTGCTGCCCTCCTCAGGAGCAGGAAAGGAGAGCAGGTGAATGGAGCTCGGCCGAGGGCACCGCTCTGGGCGCACGCGGTGCTAACGTAAGCAGAAATGGGTGCGGAGAGGATCAGCCAGTTAGCTGTGCCTTAAACACGGGTCATCGAGGGCGGACGCCGCCTCCTCCCGGCACTGCTGTGGGCGCCGGTTGTCCACAGCCCCCCTTCACGCCTGGAGATCTTTGAGCAGAATTCAGAGAAGATCCAGGTCTGATTTTTTTTTTTTAAGGAATTCTTTTGACAGAACACCCCCAGTTTTGTAGGTGCAATACATGCAGAAAGGTATCGGCTGGATATTAGGAAAAAGTTCTTCACTGTCACGAGTGGTTCAAAGGTGGAATAATCAGCTGCCTGGGAGGCGGTGAGCTCCCCTGACAGCTTTCAAGAAGAGGCTGCACGAATATTTGTCAGAGATACTTTAGGCGGGTCCTGCATTGGGCAGGGGGTTGGACTAGATCGTAGGTGTCTAACTCATTTGTTCTGAGGGCCGGATCTGACATAAATGAGACTTTGTTGGGTTGGGCCACATGTCTCATAAGATGTAACACCAGGTAACAGAGATAAACTTTATAAAAGATATAAACCAGTTTGGTGTCGTGGTGAAGTGCGGGGACTCTAATCTGGGAGAACCGGGCTTGATTCCCCACTCCTCCACTTGCACCTGGCTGGATGATCTTGGGCAAGCCGTAGCTCTGATAAGAGCTGTCCTTGAAAAAGAGCAATTTCTGTCAGAGCTCTCTCCGCCCCACCTACCTCACAGGGTGTCTGTTGTGTGGAGGGGAAGGGAAAGGAGTTTGTAAGCCGCTCTGAGACTTCTTTGGGAAGTGAAGGGCGGCGTATAAATCCAATCTCTTCTTCTTTGTCTTCTTCTTTATAAAGGACACAAACAAAATGTTTTTTTTTTACTTAAAATAAAAAAATGCTTAAAACCTTCGCTCTGTAAGCTGCAAACCTACTTTTGATTTATTGACATTCAGCACAGAAATCTCACGCTCAGAGTTCTGAGTCAGGGACCCAGGGGAAAACATGAAATGGCCGAGTGATTGAGAGAGTCTGGCGAAGCAAGCTATGATGCAGCAGCAGCAGAACTGGAAGCAGGAGATGGCCAGTTCCACTGCGGGCCTGATGGAAGCCCTCCGGGGGGCCTGATCTGGCCCCTGGGCTGCATGTTTGACACCCCTGGACCAGATGGTCTGTACGGCCCCGTCCAATTCTACGATTCTAACAAAGGATGCAGATCTGAGGTTTGCATTCATCGCTCTGTTTTCTAATGTGGTAAGAGCAAGAGTCCAGCAGCAGCTTAAATTTGTGGAAAGGGACGAGCTTTTATGTTGTCAAAGGCCTTCACGGTCGGAGTTCATTAGCTGTTGTAGATTTTTCCGGGCTGTGTGGCCGTGGTCTTGGCATTGTAGGGCCTGACGTTTCGCCAGCAGCTGTGACTGGCACCCTCAGAGGTATAACACGGAGAGATGGAGTACTCTCCGTGTCAAGGTGAGAAGAAAAAATGGTAGGCAGGTCGTTTATATCTACTCAAGAAGGTGGGGTAGGGCCGAGTCATTCTCTTGTCGGAGTTCCCCAGGCTGTGAAACATGGTAATGGAGGAGCTTTCCTGAGGAGGTTCTTTTGCACGTGGATTGGCCGTTGAAAATTCTAACCTTATCTGTCGTGCTGTCGTAAGATGTATCTGAAGAAGTGAGCAACGGGGCTCACGAAAGCTCGTCCCCGGCCACAGATTCTGCTCATCCTGAAGGTGCTCCTGGACTCTGCTGCTACAGATAGACTAACACAGCTACCCATCTTCATCTTTTCTAACGTGGGCAGCACTGTAGACCCTAGAGTCTATGGTGGAGAAGCAAGAGAGGACGGACTGTCTGGGAGGGTAGAGGGTCAGCAACTCTTTGAGCACCCCCCAAAAAAAAGGTTCTTGGAAGGCTCTGGAAGTGGAAATAGGAGGTACAAGGATCTGGAGTAGCAGTTGTAGGAGACGGGCCAGTCAAAGCGGGCCGGCCGTGGGTTGCTTTGCAGAGGTGATGGCGCCCCGTTCCATCTATGCTGCGAACTTTCAGGGCCTACGGGGGTTGGTTGGTTGGTTGGGGAGGTGCTGTGGCTTAGGGGCAGAGCCTCTGCTTGGCATGCAGAAGGTCCCAGGTTCAGTCCCGGCATCTCCAGTTAAAAAGGACCAGGCAAGAGGCGAAGGGAAAGACCTCCGCCTGAGAACCTGGGGAGCTGTAAAGAGGGGCTGTGGCTCCGTGGAAGAGCCTCTGCTTGGCAGGCAGAAGGTCCCAGGTTCAATCCCCGGCATCTCCAGTTAAAAGGACCGGGCAGGAGGTGATGGGAAAGATCTCCGCCTGAGACCCTGGAGCGCTGTAAAGAGGGGCCGTGGCTCAGTGGCAGAGCCTCTGCTTGGCATGCGGAAGGTCCCAGGTTCAATCCCCGGCATCTCCAGTTAAAAGGACCGGGCAGGAGGTGATGGGAAAGATCTCCGCCTGAGACCCTGGAGCGCTGTAAAGAGGGGCCGTGGCTCAGTGGCAGAGCCTCTGCTTGGCATGCGGAAGGTCCCAGGTTCAATCCCCGGCATCTCCAGTTAAAAGGACCGGGCAGGAGGTGATGGGAAAGATCTCCGCCTGAGACCCTGGAGCGCTGTAAAGAGGGGCCGTGGCTCAGTGGCAGAGCCTCTGCTTGGCATGCGGAAGGTCCCAGGTTCAATCCCCGGCATCTCCAGTTAAAAGGACCGGGCAGGAGGTGATGGGAAAGATCTCCGCCTGAGACCCTGGAGCGCTGTAAAGAGGGGCCGTGGCTCAGTGGCAGAGCCTCTGCTTGGCATGCGGAAGGTCCCAGGTTCAATCCCCGGCATCTCCAGTTAAAAGGACCGGGCAGGAGGTGATGGGAAAGATCTCCGCCTGAGACCCTGGAGCGCTGTAAAGAGGGGCCGTGGCTCAGTGGCAGAGCCTCTGCTTGGCATGCGGAAGGTCCCAGGTTCAATCCCCGGCATCTCCAGTTAAAAGGACCGGGCAGGAGGTGATGGGAAAGATCTCCGCCTGAGACCCTGGAGCGCTGTAAAGAGGGGCCGTGGCTCAGTGGCAGAGCCTCTGCTTGGCATGCGGAAGGTCCCAGGTTCAATCCCCGGCATCTCCAGTTAAAAGGACCGGGCAGGAGGTGATGGGAAAGATCTCCGCCTGAGACCCTGGAGCGCTGTAAAGAGGGGCCGTGGCTCAGTGGCAGAGCCTCTGCTTGGCATGCGGAAGGTCCCAGGTTCAATCCCCGGCATCTCCAGTTAAAAGGACCAGGCAGGAGGTGATGGGAAAGACCTCAGCCCGAGACCCTGGAGAGCTGCTGCCAGTCTGAGTAGACAATACTGACCTGGATGGACGTCTGATTCAGTATAAGGCATCTTTGTTCATTTGGCGGCAGCAGTTGAAGCAAGCGACAGGTTTCAGGCCCTTGAAATTGCACCCGGGCTGGGGCAGAGCTTCTAAGGAAGGGCCAGTATGCGATCCATTGTGGTTTCAAAGCACAATCAAGCCCTTCTGTATCCCCACGTACCAGAGCCCTTCCCCTGTACCAGAGATCAGGGAGTTTAAAGGAAAGATACTGTGGCTCAGAGCCTCTGTGAACTTGCAGTGTGGTGTAGTGGTTCGGAGCACGGACTCTAATCTGGGAGAACCGGGTCTCATTCCCTGTGTCTCCACAGGCAGCTGCTGGAGTGACTTTGGGCCAGTCACAAGTTCCATCAGAGCTGTTCTCTCAAGGGCAGTCCTCGAAAGAGCTCTCTCAGCCCCACCGACCTCACAGGGTGTCTGTTGTGGGGAGGGGGAAGGGAAAGGAGATTGTCAGCCGCTCTGAGACTTCTTCTGGTAGGGAAGGGCGGGGTATAAATTTAACAACTTCTTCTGCTTTTAGCAGGATCCCTAGGAGAGCAGAGTGCCCCAGGAGGTGTTTGGCCGATTCCACCTCCTCCTGAGACATCCGTATCACAGAGTGAGGGAGATACGTCCTTCTCAGAGGTGCCTTCAGAGGGCTCCTCTTCAGATTCCAGTTCCAGTGAATCCTCGGGCCGGAGTCCGGGTCTGAGGTCATTAGCAGTAAGGTAAAGGTTTCCCTTGCTCGAAAGCCAGTCAAATCCGACTCTAGGGTTGCGGTGCTCATCTCCGTTTCCAAGCCGAAGAGCCAGCGCTGTCCGAAGACGTTTCCGTGGTCATGTGGCCGTCGTGACTAGATGCTGAAGCGCACGGAACGCTGTTCCCTTCCCACCGAAGCAGTCCCTATTTATCTACTTGCAGTTTATTGCTCTCGAAGTGCTAGGCCCACAGGAGCTGGGGCCAGAGAGGGGAGCTCACTCCGTCACGCGGCGCTCGGGTCTCAAACTGCCGAACCGCAGGCCTTCTGGTCTGCAGCTCAAGACGGACTAAACAGAAAGACCCTTCGGCGCCTCAGGTTTGCTGCAGGAAAGAAGCGTCTTATACTCACTGATTAATTTATTTCTACTCACAGTCCTTCCTGTGGACCGCCAGAGTGGGAGGAAGCCCTTTGCCGGCACGGCTAGCCCTGGTAGCTAGACAACCGTCTTGAGAAGTCCCTGGTGCTCCTGAAGTCTGTGTCTGCGTCTATTTATTTATACCTCACTTTCCTCTCCCATTGGGACCTCCCTCCCTCCATCTTCTCCCTTCCTCCATTTTCTCGCAACAACCACACTGTGGGGTAGGCCAGGCAGAGACTTTGTGCGGGGCCCAAGGTCGCCCAGTGAGCTTCCAGGGCAAAAGTGGGGATTCGAACCGGTGTCACCCAGAGTCCTAGTTCAGCACACTCTGCTTCCTCTGGCTGGCTGTTCGCCTCCACTCTGGAAGGTCTGAAACTCTTAAAAGCCGGCGTCCTCTGTGGAGGACCCTTTTTCGCAACCCAGATTCATAGCAATTCCTCAGCCGAGGGACACGGGGGTTGTCAGAGGCCGGGGGTCAGCAAAGATTTGCTCTTTCCCCCGCTGCCCCCCCCCAAGCACCAAGAAGACAGAGCATCACTGCCCCAGGCGTAAGAACAGAAGAGAAGCCACACTGGGTCAGGCCGATGGCCCCTCCAGTCCAACACTCTGTGTCACACAGTGGCCAAAACTCAGGGGCCATCAGAAGGTCCAGCAGTGGGGCCAGAACTCCAGAAGCCCCCCCCCACTCTTCCCCCCCCCCAAGCACCAGGAAGACTGAGCATCACTGCCCCAGAAATAAGAACACAAGAGAAGCCACGTTGGGTCAGGTCAGTGGCCCATCCAGTCCAACACTCTGGTTCACACAGTGGCCAAAACCCAGGGACCACCAGGAGGTCCACCA